ATCATCTGCTAAATCTTTTAAATCTCAATTACCACTCACATTGTTAAACATCTTGTTGATGTGTTTTTATTGTGTATGGATTGTCTTTTACACATTTTGCTCTTGGTTTATTTTCATCTAAAGTTGATTTATTTCGATATAATGTACTCATTTTGAAATGTACAATGGCCAATAATAGCAGACATTACCTATTCAGTGGGGCTGCAATAAACAGTAAATACACTTCACCACAGAATGACGTTGATGGGTTGAGGGTGTATATCTATTACAACCTGATTTCACTTAGTAATACAAAGTAATAGAGTTGATTTTTATAGTCAATATAAAAAGCTAGGTTTCACCTTAACCACTGTTTACTGACCTTATAATGTATTTATTGTTGCTTAGTTATATTGAGAACTGGCTTGTTGACATGGTTCATTTTATAATGTTTGTGCCTTTGATTTTCTGTGACATTCATGTTTGCATTTGTATGGTGATTTATGTGTGTTTTGATTGTATTCCCTACAGACCGACAGCCATGCTGACCAGCTTTATAGAGGGTCTTCTCTGCTGCCTGTCCTCAAAGTCAACAAACGTTGTTGGTCCTGTAGAAACCTCAGAACTAGCTGATGGCTATGAGTTTGTGGAGGTAAAACCAGGCCGTGTCCTTCGGGTTCGACATATTATCCCTGACCGGCCGGTGGTGGAGGAACCCACTGGGACGGGAGGGACTGTCAGCTGCAAGCGGAAGATCACAGTGTATCGTAATGGACAGCTGTTTATTGAGAACTTGGGTGCAGAGCAGAAGAGCTCCCAGAATGGAGAGACAGAACAAAACAACCCAGTTGAGGTTGAAAAAGAGGGGACAGCTGAAACTGGAGCAAGAGAAGAAGCACCGGCTGCTGGAACGACTGACCAGCAGCAGCAACCCAGGAAGAGAAGATGGAAGCCCAAGCGCACTGTGATGATCGACTGTGAGAGGAAGATATCAGCCTGTAAAGGGACACATGCAGACGTGGCTCTGTTCTTTATCCATGGAGTGGGAGGCTCACTGGATATCTGGGGAAACCAGTTGGACTTCTTCTCTAAACTGGGATACGAGGTGATCAGCCCGGACCTGGCAGGTCACGGGGCCAGCTCAGCACCAAAGATAGCAGCTGCATACACTTTCTATGCCCTGGCTGAGGACATGAGACTCATATTCAAGAGATATGCACGCAAGAGGAATATTCTAATAGGACATTCTTATGGGTAAATCTACGATCACAACATTGATGTCACACACATTTGAATTGAAAGATTTCCAATAACTGATTATATGTCTTTTTTTTGCCTATAATATTAAGAACTATTAGAAGCCCAGACATGCATTGTGATCATGTATCTCATTTAAAAAATAGTGTAATACATTGAGTATAGTATCAGTGAACTGAACATTGACATAATGTGATAAAGTGTTTAATCAATTAGTCGATAGTTTGATTAGTCAAGTGCTAATGTGTTTTTTACAAATGTGTAATAAGTTCATACAAAATGCCCAACATGTAATAAGATAAAGAAAAGATAAGATATATATATATATACATATATTTGCTTTTATCAGTTTAATATAATTGTGTACAAGCTGTATGTCTTACAGTAAGACTATTTAAGATTTAAAAAGAGAAATAACACAATTTCCTTCTTATAAATGAACATTTTAATTCATAAGCAATAAGATGAACTATTGCTCAATGCAAGTCATTCAGGGTTTAGCCATTACAGCTGTTCTTCTTATTTCTTGTGATGAACAAGTGAATGCTTTTTATTCCCCAAATGCTTAAATGATACATTTCCACTACCACAATACAAACAGAATACCCTGATTATTCTGGCCTGTCCTGTAACCATCCTTTTGCTCTGCTCCCCCAGCGTGTCCTTCTGCACCTTCCTGGCCCATGAGTATCCGGACCAGATCCACAAGATGGTGATGATCAATGGAGGTGGTCCCACAGCGCTGGAGCCCAGCCTCTGCTCCATCTTCAACCTGCCCACCTGTGTGCTTCACTGCCTCTCCCCGCTGCTAGCCTGGAGCTTTCTCAAGTAAGACAGACAGCAACACAATAGAAACTGTTTTACCACGAACAGTGCGTTCCTTATGCTATTTTGCTGTAAGTAAAAAATGATCCAGCTTGTATAACTTTTTTGTATAGGGTGTTATGAAATACAATGTAGCTTAAAGTTGCTGAAGGCCAATCTCTAATAACTTTCATTTAGAATAATGGGAAACAAAAAGTAATTTTGAAAAAAAGCTTTTGGACTTCAAAAAATAATAGAAACATTGATCATTGTAAACATGTTCTTGGCCAAGTGTGATATATATGTTGTGTTCCCTAATGTTATCAGAATCCTGTTGTTTTTTAAGCTGTTTGTTAATCTGCTCTGCCGCCTACAGGGCTGGCTTTGCTCGGCAGGGTGCCAGGGAGAAGCAGCTTCTGAAAGACAACAATGCCTTCAACGTGTCGTCCTTTGTGCTGCGCGCCATGATGAGCGGACAGTACTGGCCTGAGGGGGACGAGCTCTACCATGCTGAAATCACAGTCCCTGTCCTGCTGGTTCACGGCATGCACGACAAGTTTGTCCCCATCGAAGAAGACCAGCGCATGGCGGAGGTGAGTGGGCCTCATCAACCAAACAATCATAAAGTGGCAGTGCTTTGTTGATGATTCCAAAATGTAATTTCTTGTTATGCTGTCAGATCCTCCTAATGGCCTTCCTGAAAGTCCTGGAGGACGGCAGTCACATGATCATGATGGAGTGTCCTCAGGCTGTCAACACACTCCTGCACGAGTTCATCCTGTGGGAGCCGGCCACACCTGCCCCTCCAAAGAAAGACTCTAAAGCACGTCCAGAAACTGCCAAAGCCCGAACTGAAAACACAAAGTCTTCATCTGAACCTTCTAATGCTCGACCTGAAACTGCAAGGCAAATGTCATCCAACAGCGGCACAGTGGACCAGACACCAGACAGCAAGACCAATAAATGACTGAAACGTTAAGCTGAAGCTTCCAGTGGTTGTTATACAATGTCATGGCTGGCCATGCACTATGTGAATCCTGAATATCTTAGACTGTGTAGGCTGTTGCAACTGAATGTTGGACATTTGAAAATGTGACAGAATGAAGGGATTCAAGTCTGATCAGTTATGTCAGCTGATGGGCTGAGGGACAGAGAAAAGAGGAGCCCCAAAAATGGATACTGGAGGTCAGCACTTCAGTGGACTGCTCTCTGACTTTAACATACAGCAAGGAAGATGTGGCTGTGCCTTGAAGAGACGGAGGGGCGATGGTGAAAATGAACAAAAAAGGTCATTTTTGACAAATTGTCACATGCCTTGCTGAAAGTTATAATATTAGAAAGGATAACACCTGATTGCCTGCTCTGACTTTTCCATTACTGAACTGTGGAGAATAAAAGAAAAAGCAAAGTTTTGTATGTAACATTCTCCTGGTTGACTTGTTCTTACGCTGCCCTACGTAAACCAGCAGCAAAGCCAGTAAGCCTTATTGAAACTAGCTAGATGGAAAATCCTAACGTATTAGTCTACTTAAGGAAGAAAGCTAAGGTAGGACATTCGTTTTAGAAGCACTTGTAGTTTTATTTGTTTAAATTGTCTTTACATCGATAAAGCAAATGCTCTGACAATAGAAACATATATAAAAACATTAGGCAGACAACATTTCCCCAAACTAACCTGGTAGTACCAAAAAAAGCCATGTTTGTAATTTACGGTAATTTGTATAAGGTTTTTACTTGGGTGTCAGGGCGGTGGCTTTGCTTGCTTTACTCTTGCTGGTTTCTCCAAAGTTGCCGACCCAGTTTCAATTTCAAATTGTGACACGCTGAGCTAGCTTTGTGTGTCTTTGTCTTGAAATTCAAAATTTCAAATCTCAAAATGATACATTAAAATCTCTCACCTTTTGTAGAGGTGAGAGTATTAACAAAGGGAACAGAGGGATTTGTGACTGTTTCAGTTATGAATTTGAAGTGTAAAATGATCAAGCACTGATAAAGACAGAAGTGAAAGTACTGTATATTCGCTGCCCCCCATAGAATTCAGTAAAATGTGTGTTCAGTCGAGTGTATCCTGTTACTGTAGGTAGCAATAGTTGAGGCTCAGCAATGAATCATAACTTTATATGTAGAAAAAGGGCACATTTCTTAACACTGATCATTTGTACATGATGGGGATGTTAATCAATAATAAGAAGGCTTGTATTGAGATGCTTCAATGAAGTGCAACATCTCACCAAAACGGCATTTTATGTTTTTCATACATAGATTAGTCTTTTTATACTTTTCTTTTCTAATCGTGATGAATGTTTAGAGCTCTAAAAGACATTGTAGCAAGGAATTCACGCGATTAATTGAAGACACAGCTCTGATCACAGTTGTTTTGAGACTCAAGCTTATGTCAGCTTATCATTAATAAAATCATGTTGTAAAAAATTGGAAATGATCCGTGATTTGTTTCAAAGACAATCAGCTGGCAACCATCAGCCAGAAGCCTTCCAGGCCACTGTTGCATCTTTTGATGAACACGGGTCGAGTTCAACTTTTTTGCCATGTGTATTAAATTGAAATGTGTGTGTGACACTCTCTGTGCCTAAAACAGGGGCACACATTCCCAGAAAGCAAAAGCAAAACAAAAAATAAGCTTGGCTAACAACCCGACAACTGTCAACAGACTTTGATTGAGATATGAGTAAACATCAAAATGTGATGTGTGTTTTTTTCAACAGAGAAATGCCTACTTCAAACCACTGACAACATGACATCTCTCATGTGAACTAATGAAAACGGTTTGAAATTAAGCAAATGATCACTTAGAAACCATGGATCAAAATAAGAAGCGGATTAATACAATATTTTTTGGAGGCCTGTAAAGATGTTATTCACATTTTGTAAATCCAGCATGATAGAGTATATAGTGTGAAAAAGAATGGGCTTGAGTCTTGACAAAAGTCCTGGTAGAAATACTCTTTTTTTGTAAGTCTCCTTTAATGAAATGACACAATGACACATAAAACATTTTAAAATAAACAACTCAATTATTCAAACAAGCCATATATATATATATATATATATAAATGCAGACTCAAGCATTTGTTTTTGTTGAGGGGAAAAAAAGTGCATGGTGGTTTTAAAATGAATGTCAATTGAATAAAGTATTATATTAAAGTTAATAAACGCACCATGCACTTTTAAAGAGGGTTATAAAGCAAAAACTTACATAACGTATCTACTATGTATTCTCTTACCAAGGCCCCTAGTTTGACAACAGCATTTCCACTCACGGTACCTATTATTTGCATTCTTACAGCTTTTCTAAGAAAATATTTATAACTTAATTTAAATGATATTTTTGCAAATTGACAATACAATATTTGATCCAATTCTGTAACAAATCTTAACAAAAACATCACGTTGTAAAATGCTTTACAATGTTTATACATTCATAACATAATTAAAAGAAAGCATTCAGCTGAAGCACTTATTTCCTAAAAGTAAAAGTCACAGCATCCACCTGCGACCCCTCAGACCTCCACAGTAACCGTGGCTCCGTTGCTGGTGTCCTGCAGAGGGGTGGTCTCTATGGGGACACTGGAAACCTCTTCGGGCTCCTCTTTTTTGTCTTCCTTCCCACCATCAGCCACAAGAGGAGAGCTCTCTGCTGCCCCCTGCTGGTCATTGCTGATAGTGCTGGCAGCCTTCTCTCCTGCTGGCTTCTCTGCTGCTTTGGTTTCATTCACAACCTGGACGGAGTCGACTGAAGAGGCCTGGACTGCTTTCAGTTCCCCGTTCTGAACAGGGAAGACCCCCTCCAGGGCCTCGTACAAGAACTGGTACTGCTCCTGTGAGACACGCAGGCAGAGAGTAAAAACATCACGATATGTTGCTGTGATGTAGAGGAAAACATTTGATTGTGGACTTTTAGGTGACCCTTTGAACAGCACACAAATAAGAGCACCAGAAAACAGCTTTTTGCCATATTGTTACTGTGTCAACAAAAGAGTAAAAGTATCATTCTAGAAAGCATGGTATACTACAGGTGATTTTCAATCTAATCTATTCAAAACACATTAATGAGCCGCTCACTCCCACTGCTGGGCATGTTCCTTTATTGTGATGAACATGGCCACTGTAGTTTTGTTTTTGAGTCATCTCACATACGCCTTTCCTGCTGTTGTAGTCACTAAAGCTCACTTCTCAATATATCTTTTAAAGGAACATTCAAGCAAAGGAACTGAAACATAGAGGAGACATTTTTAGTTTTTACAGCATTAAACTGTGGCGCTGGTTAAAGTGAAATACATTCCCAATACATTAAAGCTTTATATCTATATTTCTTTAGGTCTTTATTTTCTAAAAACCTAGCACATTAGACTGCAAATAGATATAAGGGGTTTTTTATGTCCATAACGGGCAGTAATATTATGTAATACTTTTCACACTCAAAGCTGTTAGAAGTTAAAGCTGTGAAACTTTGGGCTGACAGATATTTGGTTCCTCTTTCTTACCAGGTTGGACAGCATGCCTTGTCTCTCCTTGCGCAGGGTTTTGGCCACCTGGAAAACATCCATCAGCTTCTCAGTCTCAGCGCTGTCCAGCAGGTTCCACAGAGCACAGAAAATCCCTGACCGGGATGAGCCATTACTGGGGAGACACACACACACACAAACAGTTAGATTGAGAATCAGCAAACTCTCCCAGAAGGACATATATGTGCTTTTCTGTTATGTTCATGAATGTTATTTACTATGAAAACACAACATCTTAAAATGGGTAACAACTTCAACTCGTTTCCCTTTTTAAAGCGCCTTAATCTTAAACTTAAATCAGTAGGTTTTTTTCTCCAAGAGAGTTTAAAGGTCTAAAATGTATATTTTAAAGCTCCTTATGAGAACATTTGGATATGTTCTGATTATATACTACTCCTTTAAGATTCAAGAGGACATTTTCTGTGAGGTTGTCTTACTTGCAGTGGACCACAACGGGTGAGTTCCTCTGTGATTTTCCTCCTCCACAGCTCTGCTTGATGTCCTTGATCATGTCCGTGAGCTCCTGAGCTTTCTCCGGCAGCTCGTTGTTGGACCACGTCAGGAACTGGAACTGTTTCACCGACCGAGTCTCTTTCCTCTGTGGACAGGAGTTGTGTGGGGGGTTAAAACAGCTTGTTGAAAGGACCCATCTCATCTTAGGCTGATAGATGATAAACATCGGAAAATAACAGACTTTATTCAGTAGGCATCTGTCGTGTTACCTTGACGTGACGGAGCAGCATGTTGCGGGTGATGAAAGTTGGGGAGGTGTCTGTGCTTTCCACTTCCACCTCGAAGTCCCCAAATGTTTTCTTATCTTTGTCCCAGTAGACAGAGTTAGACTCCTGTTCACAAGAAAACACACACACAACGTTTATTTACCATATATGTACTAAGAGCATGTGGTTTATTCTCTATGCGAGGTACATACAGAACATAATTAATACCTCACTGCTGTCTGAGAGCATGACGATTGCAGATGTTTTCTTTTGGTAAACCATCAACCAGAAGTCAGCCACGGTGTCCGGCAGGGGGGTCTGCGCTGCGATGAAGTTTTGTGGGCCCCAGTACCCCTGTGTGGGCAAGAAAAAACACATCACACATCTATTGTTGCACACAATTCTAACCAACAGGATGTGGTAAATTCAAATTAGATTTAAAAATGCAACTGTCTGCGTGAAAGAGACAAACCCTGCTTCAACAGGGAAGGTGCAAGACAATGTTTCAGTTAAAAAAAACACAATTATTTTTGTCCAGGAATCCATTTCTATAAAGTGTAAAGTACGCAGAAAGAGGTTATTCAATTAGACGTATATGTATATAAGTATATGTAAATCGTACATCTATGTGGGAGGCATTGATGTACATAGATGAATCCTCTTCCTCCTCATCTGATGATTCTTCCTCTTCCTCGTCATCAGGGTCACTGTCACGACTGCGTCCTTCATCTAATTTCAGCAACACTCGGTTGTAGTCATCTGAGGCAGAAGTGAAGTGAAATTAAATTTACTTTGGTAAATGATTGAACACTCAGATGTATTATAGATGTTATTCTATTGTGTAAAATGTAATGCCCCTTTGCTGAGCTGAAACCTACATGGGATGACAGAAGTAAAGCGATTCTTCTTCTTGTTCTCTTCTGTGAGCCCCTTGTTGAATGTCCTCCAGTTTTTATAGATGGGGAGTCTCTGAATTGCAAGACAAAGACTGTTCATCATAGTGCTAAAGAAAGGTCTACAGTTCCTTCCATATACACTAATAAGATGTAAGCAGGGGGAAAAGGATAGGACTACATTTTAAAGGGACCACTAATGCTGTGGAGTGCCATACCTCAAACTCATCCTCCAATAAGGTGGGTTCACTGCTGGAGTTTTTCTGTTTGAGCGTGCTCAGGGTGCTGTGGAGCTCGGACACAGTGGTCTCAGTCTCTCCAAACTGATTGTGCTCCAGCAGCGCCTGGTGTATCAAGATGTACTGGGCCTGCGTGAGGACAACATCACTTCATAAAAAACGGATATACAGTTTGGGGATGGAGCCATTATGCACAAGACGGACAGCAATCAACGCTTTCTCCTTCTCTGTGAATGGTTTGGATTTAATAAACACAATTCTGCTTCTGTAATGTTTGATCTTTACCTGTGTTCATTTCTCAAATAGTTTGCCTTCTTTGCCCTCTGATTGGCACTCAATATATAGAAATAAATGAATTGTATTGTTAATGTACTGCATATGCTCAAACATATACTGTGCACAAGTTATTTCAGCTTCTGCCCACTGGTGGGCGTCAGAAAGTAGACAGCTTCAGTCCACACAACATTACGCACACAATACACACATTAAACTAGCAATGTACATTTTATATTTATACTATATCATAGTGTAACTCAATCCTGTATATTCATTGTAAGATAGCTGCAAATAGCCAAAAGATAAAGTCAAGATGAGACCTGAAAATGATTTTAGACTTTCAAGGTCTGTTGTTATACTCAATCAATATATTGAATATTAAAAAATGGTTATTTATTTTATTTATGTTTGCTTTTAAATGATGCATTATTAAACTTGAATAATTGATTTGAATGATTATTTAATTGATGAATTGATTATTTTGATGAATAATAAAAAAATGTAAACCGAAATTAAATATACATTCTTTGTCATTCCAATAACCTGCATGTGTGTCTATTATATTCTACATCATCTACTTGACAATATTAACATTTCATAAAAAGTTATCATTTCTACAGGACAAATATAAATGAACTGTACTTGTTTATTTATTCAAATGCCCTTGGAACTGCCGTAACGTCTTGCCACCAGACCATAATATTGTAAAAGTAACCTCTATTTAAAGGTTTTCTCTGTCTTTATGTTGCGTGTGTATCCTTGTCTCTCTTATCATCTTTGTTTAGCTGTATGTTCCTGTTGCTTCACTTCCTGTATGGTTGATCTTGCACGGTGAGTATTCATACTGAGAACTGAAGTTTCATTATTTGTATGTGTTAATAAACTCAACCGATTAGCTAAACTCTCATGAGACACACAAAATATGATCATAGTTGATATTTTACCTCTACTTGAACCATTAGACATCTCTGTCTGCGGAGTCTGACCACATAACCGTAGATGTCGACTCTGCCCTCCGCCTCCAGACACTCCATCATGGCATCAATACCAATGTATGTGCCTGTCCTGCCGACCCCCGCGCTGCACATGAGATCATAACATTAGGCTGACACACATCTATACATGTCTATCAGTCACAAGGAAAGGTGAAGTCGAGCATTAGTTTAGAAACACATAAAGGGGGGAAATGGGTTGATGAGTGATTCAAAATGTCATCCCTTTTTGTCTTAACTCATAAGTCATTGAAGCATGAAAGATCAGGTCTGTCTGAAAATCTCTTTAGAAAATGTACTTGGTGCATTAGATTGTCTACGGTCTTTGGTCATTAGTAGATTTCATCAGACTTTTTCCAATTAGAAGATTAGTTTGGCATTACTCAAGCATCCCATGTACACTTTGTGGAGAAATGGGATATTCTGTAAGGGATGTGACTGTGATATATATAGAAAATGAACAAAACAATATGCAGCATAAACAGTATAAATGATTGCAAGTATGGCATATCAGTAATGAACTTAATATTGGGAAATAAGCACAGAATATATTAGATATGGCCTGATCATGCCTCAAAGACAAATGGAAACAATGGGGAATGGAATCACATCCAATCACAACTAGAAGTAGATTACAAATGTTGTTTACTCTGATTATTAGAACAACGTGTAGTATTTGTTAGCTGAAGCTTGTAGGCTACTAACCTGCAGTGAACAACGATGGGGCCGCTGAAGAAATTCTTGAACGCATTGACGCGCCGCCTCAGTTTCAGGAGCAGATGTGGCTCTCCGGGGACGCCGTGGTCCGGCCAGCTCATGAACTGGATGTGAGTCACTTCCCTCTCTGAGTTCTTCTCCCTCTTCTGCAAACACACAGGGAGGTAATGCATACATGCACAAAGACATATATAAACACAGATTCATTCACATTTCATATTTATTGAGATAAAGACTGACAGATATACTGGCTTTCACTTACACACAGACACACATGTATACACACACACAGGCTAAAAGTAACAATATACATTTCCTCTAGTTTATCCAGTGAACTCACATTAGTAAGGCTGAGATGGCGGATGGTGTAATCTGGGCAGTGGTCCTCTGAGTTCAGCTTCACAATAAACTCCTCAAAGATCTCTGCCTCGCGGTCTCGAGACGGCCAGTACTGCGCACATTTGACCTGATTTGGCAAATCATTAAGACATCAGTAACATATTGGTAAATGTTCACTATCAGCAGCATTCTCCAAGAAACAAGACCACAGTGTGGGCATGAGTGTGAATGAATATATCTGATAAAGTGTATGTGGCAGAGAAGCAGTGATCAAGTCTTACCCGGTTTCCTTCTTCACAACGTGTTACCATAACGATGATAGAGGACTGCTGCTCCCACACCATCCTCCAAAAGTCACTGACAGTCTCTTCCTTTGGCCCTACAACACACACAATATATACATAAATACTGTATATAAATGGACAAGTGCAGAAGTGTTTGTGTGATTAATTGCTTTACCTTGTGCTGCGATGTATTTTTTGGATTCCTTGTACCCCTGCAACAGGAAACAATGTCAATAAGGCGTGTATTGTCAGAAAGAGATCATGAGTGTGTAATGTGATGCAGCAGTAGTAGCAGACATAGTTGTAGTATAGGATTGTTCATACATCGATGAAGCTGGCATTGATGTAGTCACAGCCTGTCTCCCCATTTCCAGTGGTCAGCTGAACACGGTTATAATCATCTGGTTCAGGACAGAAAATAAATAATTATTAACAACTCAAGAAGTATTATTGAAATTCGATTCAGAAGCTGTTTATAATTATGTTAAAAACATAACATGCATATGTCCCATTTTAATTTACTCTTTATATATATATATAATATATCTTGAGTTAGAGTTAAAAACCACAACAACACAAACAACATAAAAACAAATAACAAATGTAATAAATTAATAAAGAACAACTGATGTGAATCAAATCCTGCAATCCTGCTCACAGATTTGCAACATTTCCCACAACAGTTGAATAGATATTAAAGAAATCTGTCACCGTTTAAACACTATGGCAAACGAGTGTAGACAAAGCCAGGTACAACTAAGTGATGGTGTCATGTGTTGTTGGACAGACTCACATGGCAGGATGTCCACGTAGCGATTCTTGGGGACGTTGCACGCCTTTTTGGCCTCTTTCACGGTGTACCTCGTGAAGATTCTGGGCATGCTCTGTCAACAGAAAAACATTTTGTTTGCCAAATGATGTCTTTGTCCTGATCATGTTCATCAAACTGTCTATGTTCAGCCTTAAACTTTTACTACCTTGACATCCAAAGATAGACAAATATATATAAAAAACAATGTCCCAAATGGTTTAAATTGTACCTGAAACTCAGCCAGGAAGAGTCTTCCCTCATCAGCAAGCTTCCTCTTGTAGGTTTCCAGCAGGACCTCTGCTGCGATCGGCTCCACTGCCAGAAGATTCTCCTCGTCGTCTACATCAGCAAACCAGCCAGAAGATAAGACACCGAAACAATGTAATACTGTATTAGTGCTTATTTGTTACTAACCCTTATTCTAAATTACAATGTACATGTGGTACTTCATTGATTTCCCCATACATTTGTCTTGAAACGCGCTTCTTCATCATATGACAAGGAATACATGTGAGTATTCAAATCTTTCTACAAACCTCATGCTAATTTGACAAAAGTAGCAGCTAATGTATTTATTACATACTTAAAGACTGTTTTGAGCATGTTATTAAAGACTAAGTAAAGGAAAGTGGAAATATGAAGTCTACTCACTTGCTGTAGTAATAAGCAACATGCTTTCACCCAGGTTACTGCAAAAATAAAAAATAGAAAATAGGCTTCAAAGACTGGAAAAAGAAAGCTAAGAGGAAAAGCTTTATACCAGTAATGTTAGTTATGTCTATAATGCAATAATATCACTTTTCATTTACTGGAAATGTAACAAAATGGATGTATCAGTATAAAACCTGCAGTTGCATTTGTTTACAACAAAACAATCACAGAACTAAACCATAACCAGAATCCACGCGAAAGTAAAATTGACGCTGAATGAAACTCACTGGGACTGTCTGCGCCTCAGAACGTAAATCTTGTAGACGACCAGAAGCAGGGCCACAGACGTGAGGATGATGAGGAAGACCAAAAACCCAATGACAGCTTTGTCATTATCTGTAAAATGATGGGAACATAATATCAAAGCTGTGGCATTTATGTTAAAGACACAATCTATGGTATTGAATATATTTGATGTAGGTCAGAACATTTATTCAGTTAACAGAACAATGCAAGACAATTTGGCATGAATTAAAACATCACATACAGGAAGTGGTGACAGGTACTCCGCTGGGAATGCCCTCGTATTGTCCATTGGAAGCAGTCACCTGGAAACACAGGAGACCTCCTCATCAGGAAATATAGCATTTGAAGAAATAAGAGGAACAAAGTTTAAATAGTGTTGGGAACCCAAAGGTTTGGCTCATACACACCTGCAGTTTGTATTCGGTTGAGTAGCTTAAATCTTTGAATTCAAACTTGCATTCGCTTTGGTTCAGAATCTTATTCAGGACATCACCACTATAAAGACGTGCGACGTAATACTTCCTAGGTCCATTAAAATCAGTTGGATTTAGAGGATCACAGGTTGCGTTAATCACGTTATGCTCTGGAAGATGCACCTTCAGGTTCTTAATTTCTCCTGGCACTGTAAAAAAACATATTTTAAGTGATATTTCAATTTGTTTAAACAGCATTTTAAACAATGATTTGCATCAGAAGTGTGTTGCTGCATTGGATGAATGGTTGTAGGGATATAAATACAAACTGCAAATCAAAGAAAGTTGCATTGAAAAAATGTATCATTATAAATTCAATGTAAAAAGTTTTTATTCTTTAATCTTTTATGATTTTTAAGGATGAATTAATTTTTGTTATTTCCTTTATCTGACACCCCTGTGTTGGGGGAAGTCTGCAGGTTGGACTTCACATGCATCACATTTATGGAAATTGTAATTTTTAAAGGAAATAACAATGAGTTATGAAATGATTACGATAGGCAGCCACATAGTAGGTGACACGTAAATGTAACATGCACATCTTAAAGTTGATTCATTTGTTTAATTAATTAGTTGGGTCAGAACAGACTCAAGTCGGTAGAGTTATAGCAAAACACAATACAATAAAAAACACTGTTCTTCACTAATGACTGTAAATACAGTGTGTTTATTATAATGGCCTGAAAAACAATGATGTATATTGATATGCTGTCTCATTCACAGCATTTAATATCATTTGTTAAAAAAAGACAGACAGAATAAGATTAGTCACATCATTTATATGATGATATTAAATAGAAGAAATTAGATAACATTTTTTAAGTACTATCACGTAATTACTATAACTTAACATTCTAAAATCATTGATTATATTAAATTGTGTGTTGATGTTCCAAATTGAAATAATGAGTGACTTTATAACGTACCTTTCAACAAAATAGGAAATAAACAACCTTAATAAATATTTGTTTATATTACCTTTGATCTAAATATTATCCAAGTGACATTTTAGACACTTACCTCCAATATTTGTCCTAGTCGGTTTTACATGAGTTCTTTCAGGAACGTAGTTGTTGTATTTGGGTTGGACTGCACACTTATACTCGGTGTTTGGTTTCAGCCGATCAATTTTACATGTTCCTCCAGATGGATTTTTGTCAGCTTGAGCAGCTACATTAGTAGTTTGATTCAATATAGAGAAAGCAAAGACAGAACATTGGGATTATACAACAGCACATTGTTTTGTTGGTTAAGATACCTGTTGCTATTAATCAAACAATCAATAAATCATTCACTCAATCAGTAACATCCGTCATTGGTAGATCACCAACCATGCACTCTTAAATTAAATTCAAATTGTGTCATTATGCAAATATATGGGGAAATTAACAACATGTATATATTTGTATAATATTTCATGAACATTATATAAATATTCTTCAGGAAACATTGACTTGTTCTATCATCTCAGGTTATGACTAACACCTACCTTCACTCAGCATGCTAGCATGTGTTAGCATGGAGCACTGATTCAAATTTCCAAATTCAATTTTTTTTTGCCTATGTTCAACTGAGCAATAAAATAGATAATCTAAATATTTTAACTTACTTTTCTCATATGATTGAGTAGGTTTACAGCTGCACTCATAAGAAAGCTTCTGAAGTTCAGGAAGGACAACTCCACATTTCTCACTGGCTGTGGTCCAACTCAGAGCAATGGAGGTGTTGGTGACACTTGTCACTTTGATGTTCATTTTAAGATCTGTAGGGACACATCAGACATTAATTAAACTTCTCTTCTCCATAGTTATCTTTATTATCATTGCCCTGAGGTAAGGTGATTATTCACGTACCACATTCAATCCTGAACTTGATAGCAGTTGTGTTTTTTATGTTGACATTGTTGTCCGTGATCTGACCGGTACAGCTGTAGTCTGTGTAGGGCTCCAGGTCAGTAAGATTCTTCAGCTCATCGGGTTTTCCAACTTCTAAAAACACAAGTTAGACAACATTTCTTCGTCAATAGATGGTACATAAATCCCTGTGAGCTTTCGCATGCTGGGTTAGTATAATATTTACATGTGGACAGATGTTTATAGCAATCAAGAAAAATTGATATCATATTCAAAACTTTGAGTGCACAAAGCAACACTTCAACTTTATCTTGAACGAGAAAAAATAATAATACACTTTTAGATAAAACTGTGTTTCTACAGTGAGATCATCTCATGTGAATATTTCCATGTTAATCCAGTCATAATGTTTGTGACAGACTCTTTACTTCTGGTCTTTCCTCTTACCCTGACAGCTGTAAGTGATCTTGAGATTCGTGCAGTTTCGAGGCAAATCTGTTTTTATTTCTGCAGGAAGTTTAGTTGGACTTGTTTGATTTATTTCACTTGGATTTAAGAACTCTGTTGGAAAAAAAGGAAACAGTGCATACATGAAAAATGATGAATGAGGTTTACACCACATGCATTTTTAAACAAACAAAGACTCTACTGTACATACCAGTAGTGATGCTTCTGGTGAGGCTCAAGGCGTTACAGTTTCCTGAAGTGAACTTCGTAGTCAAATTGGTGCAAATGTCATTGTAATGAGGTTTGAAACAGATCACATTTTTGTCACTTTTGCACGGCTCAGCTGAAATATTATTTGACGTTGATAGTGAAGAGCTGATGTCCCAGTCACTACGGTAACAAACATATCCAAGCATGCAGCTGCCATTTTTAATATCACCTTCTTCTGAAATACACAAGTGAAAATTAACAAACACTTCTGTCAGTGTCTCTCCTTATATTTAAAAAAGGAAGATAATATTCAACAATTATTAATACTCACTCCATTCGTTTGTCTTAGTTGTATTCGTTTGTGTGGTGCAGTTACAGGGTGTTTTTTTGCCAGCAGCATCAATAAATGCCACATCATGCTCATACTCAGTGCAGGGCTTCAGGTGTTTGATTTCATGTGTTGAGTTTTCGGAGAACAGAAAAGGATCGTTGTTTCCAGTATCTGGTTGGCCCGTTTCTTTGATGATGATGGTGTAGTTGCCCGTCGTAAAGTTCTTATTCATGGTAATGTCTAAGCCAGAGTTGCTGGGTGTGACCGTGTAAGAACCTGGACACAAAATAAAAACAAAACCTGGTGACATCCTTTAATCCCAGACACTTTGTTCATGTAGATGTTGAAAGTTCTCCGGGGAATCTAAACTTTACTTTCTGCAATAGCATTCATTGCCAAGGATAACACAATGGAGAAATACAAACATAATCTTTGAATGTTTTTGTTAAGATGAGTGTGAAGAAGACCTGTATTATGTCTTGAAAATAAAAACTGATACTCACACTCCAGAGGTGGAGGGGCTGGAGTCTTGGCTGGAGAACACATTCAAAGTGATCAGAAAAATAAACAACATGTTAATTTATGCTTATGACAACTTTCAATACTCTTGCAACTGTGTGTATTTTATTAACCTAATGTAACACACTCATTAGCAGTGCTAGTAGCTGTAGTCTACATTCATAATAGTAACACAGTAATATCAGAGTCTTATAGAAGAACAAATGGCGGGCTTGTTAAGGAGAAAACGTTCCAACCTGTGGCGTTAGGAGTCACTGATGTGTTGGACGTGGTGATTGGAGGTTGAGGCTGGGTTTGAGAGGTGTTTGTCGGTGTGGGTGTGGTGATGGGTTTGGATGAGGGTAAGGTGATTGTAGGAGGAGCAGTGGTGATTGTAGGAGGAGCAGTAGTGGCTGTAAGAGGGAGAGCATGCTAGAGGTCACCCTACAAAATGTTCTGCCAATAGTCCTACCAGATGTCAGCAATGTCAGGCTGATTTCAACGCTGTTTCCAATAAAAGTGTAAACTGAGGCAGAATACATTACCAGATATATTAGTTGAATATGTTGCAGGCATTGGTGAGTTTGAGGTGAGTGTTGGAGTGGTGAGTGGAGGTTTGTGGGCAGTTGTTTGATTGTCTGGAGATATGACAGCAGTTTCTGTCATGGTGCGTGGAGTTGAGGTGCTGTTTGAACTGAATGCTGAAGGGGAATTTGTGCTGGTGCGTGGAGGTAAGGTGGTTGAAACATCTGCGTTCCAAGAAAATAAAAATAAATCAGGCCAAACACAATATGACAACGCTAGTTCATCAAAAGGTGCAACAGGAACACAAATTAACTCAGCAAATAAATTAATTCTGTTTCCTGTTGTCAGAAAGATGGTGTTGCCACTTGTCAATTCTTACCTACATGTGTCCTAAAATACATTTGTTTTAATAAGAGGAGAACATTTGATCACAGAGCAAGACCATATGTATTTTCAGAGGAGGAAAGGCAGTATACAGCTGGAAGTGCTCAGTAGGACAATTGAGCGAGAATAGTTGAAATGCTGTGAGATTAAATACTTCCTGTTTTAGGATGACAAAACCCTAGCAAGGTTGCCAACTCGAACAGGATTGTGTAAAGAGAGGTACAGTGATGTTACATGATAGCTACCTAGCTTAGCTTCTTCACAGGGTCAAAAACAAAGTTTGATGTGATGAAACACGACTATGATGACACATTTCTACAGCTTTCACACAGAACCTGTTGGATAAACCCTCACAATGTATTTCTATAAAACAAGGACTGTTGAATTAGATTACATTTTTTGTATCATTTTCAAAACTACATTTACGTCAACATATATTTAGTATTCGTCCGATTCCTGATTTTTGTTTCATTGAAAAGTACTGGTAAAGACACAGTAAAGTATAAAATGTGGTTTGTATTTAACTTAAACTCACTATGCAGGCACTTCAGACAAGGAAACAAAACATTCATACATTGTATTATGGACACAAGCATGAGATAATTGCTGTGTATAATATTATCAATATATTATGCACAAACACCATGTGAATAAGTTAAAACTCCTAAAAGTGTAGATGCTACTGTATGAGGTCAGTTATTGCTAATTTATTTATAACAGGTAGAATACCCTAACACAAAGTAAGACTTTATACTGTGTATGAATTTAACAATACGTTTGCACTGGACTTCAACACAAATGTGAATTATACATCCTTTGCAAAGCAAGTGAGCACAAAATATAAAAACTATCTGTATGTAAGGAAAGTTACATATTTTAGTTTAGCCACTTACTGGTTGCATCTGAAGTTAGTTCTTGACCTGCAAAGAGAAAATAAATGTAAATCATTGTGGCTTTTTGTCAATAAAAGATGAAAAAATGGAAAGTTAGTGTTTTGTGTTTTTAAGCGTCAACTTCATCAGAAAGATGAAACCCTTCCTGCAGGGCCGAGGCATTATCATGCGACCGTGCTCATTAAGTTCTGCATGAGACAGCGCTGTGCAACCTGGTTGCTATGACAATGCGGCAACAAGCCACATTTGCTATTTCAGAAGGCAAACCGCTACTTCCTGCTTTAAGATGAAACCTACAAAATCCCCATACAAGATTAGTTTCAGTTTAGACAGAAGACAGGCCAATGTAGAAGCACTAATGGTCTTTGTCTCCTTTCTTTAGAAAACTATTATCATTCAAAATAACATTCATGCCAGTCATGTCATCAAAAATACTTTATATCTCAAAAACGAATTTTATTCATAACTTTCCAATTCTGCATTCTACATTACATTAGTTTTACCAAGTCAATATCAGCACATGTCATTTAAAGGTGTTATTGATAATAATGTTAATTGATTTGGCTGTTTCCTCACTACATGCATACACAACTTAAGAATACGTTTACCATTAGCACATCTCAGCTGTTCATTGTTCCTAATAGTAACAGCAGTGAACAGTGAGGGTGATGTGATGGGGGACAGATGAACAATGAGACTCAGGATGTGGTTTGGCGCTCTTTTTTTTCTACATTGAGCAGAGATGCATGCTCTCTGCAGTGACATTTACAACCTTTGTACTTTGTGGTGACTGATCTGAATAGTTTCAGAAAGTTGTTTGAGACGTGTCAACTGTGCTTTATGAGTAATTCAAAAAGCTACTGGGAAAACGTTATTCAAACTCAAATTATCATCATAAATACATATTTTTTTAAAGTTGTTTTTAAGAATAGTTTTAAGTGAAGCTTGTTGGTCCTTTGGTTACATTTTATTCAGTGTCTCCAGAGTTAAGTTGGAAAGATAAGTGTGATATTTTAACATCACCCTGTCCAAGGTTACAAGCATTTGTCCACGTTTGAGAGAAAAAGAAGCAGAAGAATAAATGTAACAGTGCAAAGTTGACAGCAAAAACCAGAGTTCAACTGCCCGCCACACTTGACCCTGAATCCATTTACTTGCCTGTAATTTGGTAAAGAAACTGATGCAGTGTCTGGATTTATCTCTTACGTATCAGTTTTCAGGGTTCACCATCATCACAATCAAAAAATCTGCTTCTACTTTCTTCTCATATTTTGCATTGACATAAACGCTCCCCCTCCTCCGAGAAACAGCTTTAATTGTGTCTAACTTTTGTGACCTCACTTCTTCATTTTACACACTGAACTTCCCCTTTTTCATGAATTCTCAAGTCATTTACTTGTGCTCTGTTTTAGTCTGCTTGGTGCTCTGCTCTGCTCTGCCAGGAAATGAAGGCGACTCGAATGGAACACGGAAGTGGTCAACTTCTTGATCACACAACTCTGTCCCGCAGCAGCAAAAGAGAGCGTGACAACTTTGCATCTTAATGGGGCACTGTTGCCTTCATCTAGTTGGTTTGAATATATACATGTGGTGTGCATGTGATCTATAATAAAAATCCAAAAAGGTTGAAGAAGATAAAGTTGAGCTTAGTTTTGAAAAGGATTTGTCTTTGACTAGTTTGTGTGTGCTGCTATATTATGCTTAAACATCATGATGTGGAAAGTTGTGGTACAAATATGTGTTGCATGTCAAAAGTATTTACTGTTTGAATACATATCTTCCCTTACACAGGCCACTTTTCTGCAGAAACAGCATGATGTGATTGTAATACTTTAAGTATATTTATCTGATTATACTTGTACACTTTCACTTAAGTAAGATAAATAGATTCAAGGGTTTATTTCAGATCACATGGATAGACATCTGAGCTGAAAATAGCAGACATAATTTGATGTGCTCAACAGTAGCAGAACTCTGAGTGATGCAAGAGGCAGTAAGGAGGGTCTCACTTAACACACGCACATTTGCACAATGCGCGAACACACACACACGCAAACCACACGCACACAGATTTCTATCTTATACGAAACCCAAAGTCACTAGGGTTGAAGTGAAGAACTTGAAGGGACACACCCAGAAAAATCCTCTCATCTCTGACACACCCACACACACACACACACACACACACACACACACACACACACACACACACACACACACACACACACACACACACACACACACACACACACACACACACACACACACACACACACACACACACACACACACACACACACACACACACACACACACACACACACACACACACACACACACACACACACACACACACAATGTCAAAGCAGAACAGAAACATGATTGCAAAAATTCCCACAGCTTTGTACCAAGTGTTAGAACATGTTTTAAAGAGTCTTCTTATTAACAGTGCTCTTTGATCGAACATAACTGTTTATTCTTATGCCAAAGGGGCTCCCAAACCTGTCACTTTTCAGCTTCTCACATCAAGTGTGCTCTGTAATGTCTTGTGTTCTTGTGTTTTGAAAGTTTAAGAAACGTGAAGTAGCACAAACGGAGGCGCAACTCAAAGGCATGATATACTGTAGCTTGTCATTTCTGCCCTTAGCTTTAGTTTAAGTGATTTTAGTTTGTGTGGTGATGTTTTCCAGTTTAAAAAAAACAAGTTATATAGCGTGTTTGCGCTGACAGATTCATGTCTCTATCTGAGGAATGGAAATCATTTCTCCTTTTTCTCATAAACTCGATCAACCATATGCTTCAAAAACAGGTCAGAAGAATAAAAGACCTTATCAGGTACAGTTGGCTATCACTTGTGTTTTGCATCATATATAGATTTATTTCCATCTGAACAACTTTCCGATGACAATCACGAAGGCACAACTTTCTAAAACACCATTTATTTTCCTTTCCTCATCAACCAAATGAATATTTGGGTACTTACAGTTGGCCAAAGCGACGATCCAAGCCCAGAGCAGCAGGGTCGTCAGTCCACAGCGACCTGCCATTTCCAGGAGTTAAGGTGTGTTCGGACACACACCATGCAGTAAAGTCCTAGTGGGGACCAACAGGCAGGTAGTCACCGTCAAACAGAAGCGTATCCCCTATTCTAAACTCACTTCTAAGAGAGAAATAAGTCAAAAGACGTTATTTAAAACTACATACGTTTTTTGTCTTATCAGTGGACGCAGCTTCCTGGACTTGTTCCCCAAACCCTAAACCTCGCCTCTGGTTTCAAGTCAAGCAAGTGGGAGTGATGTCACACAAAAAGAGACTGCCTTTACCTTAACACTTGGTTACAGGAAGCTTAATTTTCAGCTAGACCACGAGAACAGGAAGTCTTCTCTCATCTAATCTTCACTCTCTTGTGTTTAAGTGTGAAAACCATCTGACTTGTGAAACAAAAGAGTGAATTTCAGCTTTTTATTTTACTTAAAGTTTATGATTTGGAGGTTTTTTAGATACATGCTTAGCACACATTGTTTGACAGTTTAACTCCATGTCAATAGACAGAGCGAGAAAGACAATGTTAAACAACAGCGCTTCCCAGGTCAATGTCCTCTGTCTAGTTGGCTTTTGTTAGACAGTTCAACATCAGAATGAGCTATTTTACATCTGAAACATTTGACATACACTAGTGCTACCTCTCACAGCTCCTCTTCTTTGGTGCTGACTCCTCCCTGCTCTTAAGCTTACAGGCCTACAGACGTTCGGCCATGTTATCAAAAGCGCACGAGGAGCTCGCACTACAATGTGCAAGACAAAAAATATGCAGTCTTTCCTTTCTCAAATGTTGTTTTTTTCTATCAGTCTTCAGAGAGAAACATGTGGCCATTGGCTCCAGAAGTGAATTTTTACATTTCTGCTGTTCCTTCTGTGTGAAATACATGTATAAGGGCTGTTAGATCTCTTCAAAGTCATTGATCATGTACAGTGTTTGATCATCATCCTCTGCCTTGGAGCTTTAAATGCTTTACTTCTGTTTACATACACAAGAAAATAGGGGATAAAACAGGAAGGAGCGGAGTGGAGAAACTCTCCGGGGATCGAGACTCACACACTGGGTGGTGGGCTGAGATGAATGTGGATGAAACACAGTCAGCTAGTTCATGCAGTTGAATGCAAATAATACATGCAACTTAGAAGACCCATTTTAGAATGTAGACAGTTTGATTCTGAGGTGGTAGAGTCTCTACAGCAAGGCGAGGGTGATATGAATCTCAATGGTATATTTAGAATACAAAGTCAAGACAATAACACATACAGTAGATCACATAAAACCTTCAGAAATATATTAGTGTTTATTCTGATGGGATTAAATAGGTTACAGACTAGCTGCTTGCCTTCTTAGAAATAATATATTTTGGTGAACATAAATGTGAATCTGAAGCCCAATGGGAAAACCGCATTTCTGACACATTTTAAGCACAAGAATCTAAATATAGATTTCCTCCTAAACCAGTGGCACACATGCCATTTGGTTATTTCCACTTCTGAGAATATAGATTCTGGTTATCAGGAAGTAGCTCTTAAGCAAGCAGAATGAAGTAAACGCAAACCAAATTCATCTGTATTCAGTCACGCAACATATTTCTGTCTTATGATGCGGTTGGCAGTTCGGACATCATCTAAATAATAAGAATAGATTATATTTTCACCGGCAATTTGCCTTACATCTGCAAAAAATGTATGACTTGTTACAACATCGTATATGTGAATAGAAATGCAAGCTTCTTAACCTCAAGAGCAGTGGAGCAGCAAGCACATTCTCCTTTGCACAGATGAATCTACAAAAGAAAGCTATTTTATGTTTACTGTAAAGATGAACAGTAGAAATATTCTGGTTGATGCTTCTATTTCACTGAGGCCTGTTAGAACAACCCGAGACCTTTTTTCTTTTATCAGGCAAACATTTACATGGATCAAATATATACATTTAATCCAATTGTTGTAAAAATTACAATTCATGCTTCCCAGAGAATAAACTCTCCAACTCTCACACTTGAATGGTTTTACAGGTGTAATGAACTGAACTTTAACAGCCTCTGTGCACTTTAAAGAGTCATCAGGGACACTTCGGAATTGTAGCCTGTAATATAATAATTATTATTATTACATTATGAGCTGAGCTAGAATCACCATTCTGTTATACCATATCAATACTTCTAAACTTAAATAATTATTATTACTTTGTGATGCTGCAACACCCAGATTCTCCTCTAGAAGTTGAATAAATGCTTATCTTATATTATCTTGTCTTCTTATCTTATACCTTATCTTATGAAGTAACACAAATGTGAAGCTGCTTGCTGCTGAGGGCAGTACTGAACTGTTTGCACACCACTGAGGTCAAAATACAGACCATTACTAGCCTGTTTACCCATAACACATTTTGTGTGTGATTATATTAATCAATTGATAAACTGAAACAATTGTAATGTTGTTTTTTCATGGGCCATTATTATCATGTAGAGTTTCCTACAACAAAGTCAAACATGTCAAAATGCACGGCTGGAATCAGTGTCAGGGGGGAGCTGAAGTTCACTGAAGCGTGCCTCTGACACACTGCTCAGAATGATCTGTTTTTGTCTGCTCTTCTCCACCTTATTTAAAGTTGTTGCTTTATAATGTTAAAGCATTTCATACAATAGTACTTCACATACACAAGACCCTAGGGCACAACATGTGTCCTGATCATCCCAACAACAACAACTGGAAAATTACAAAGTTGAAGAAATATTTTCCAGTCTGAATTTCACAATTCAATGCGACGTTTCAATTGAATGACAAACTGTTGCCTATTTAAGTTTCTCACTGTCTTTTCTTAAACCATCCACAATTAAAAAACAGAAGTCACATATCAAGTGAGTGAGTCACTGGACCCTGTCAGCTAACCACTGTGTCTCCCTGCAACACTGTCACACTTTTAAAACATCATTATTTGTTCTTTACAAATACTTTCAAAAGACTATAAGTTGTATGTCATTAGGCAAAGATACAAAAGAAGTGCCACTGGAGACAGAATGACACAATCTGCGAAAATCCACTTAAACTCTCTCTGCTGTTAGTGGACACTGCGGTTCCTATAATGGTGCATCGGCTAAAGACCTCACATGACATCAGTATCTATTTAATCAGGAAGTAATTGGTCTATCTGCCTCATGTTATCACATTTGATCAATTCCATCAAACTTTGAAAAACCCCTGCTATTATTGACTTAACACACAGGCCTCCTATATATTACATTCAATAACTGTTCAATGTCAATGTCATTTGATGTTAATTTTGAGATGCAGTTTGATGTTGTGTGAGGGCGTCATGAGTAGGCATCTGACTGTAGGTTTACATTCTATTTAGTCACCAATAGTCACTTTTGATATTTTTAAGACCACGGTTTTACATGATCATGGAAACGCTGTGGATATGTTGTCATCTTTTCCTAGTTTCCAAACATATGAAAATGATAACCAGGTATTATTTTTAGTTTCCTTTTGGTTTGATGGCTAACCCTACTCATGACTTGGGTTAGAACACACTTTTCCCGGTTTTGGTGACCAGTTTCCTCTGGTCTCGCTCTTCCATCTACAGTTCACCTGCAGACATGTTTTATAACACAAAGGCTCTAAAACGTGTGCCTGATATTGTTTTGCAACAGAAACATTTAAATTCCCAGTTATTCTCAAAACATTTGTGTTATCACTCTTAGAGAAATGGGGATTCTTTCAATATGTAACTATAATTCATTTCAAGGTTCAACTCCTAAACATGAGATGTCTAGCACAAAAAGGTATTTTCTCATCGTCTGTGTGCTGTGCGCTGGAAGTTTTGATACCTGCCAGTCTTAAACTGAGATTAAATATGAGCACGGATTAACTTTCCGGGGGAAATAAACGATTAACATTTACAACTCATTTAGACAGAGAGAGATCACTTTTTTTTAACTTCTTCAGTTGCCTAGAAGCAGACATTTTCTTTATGAATCAGCTAATAAAACTACGGGTAATGTGCAGGTTCATTATTATAATTTGCTGCCGTTTCTGTGTTTCTGTTGGATTAGTTGTCAGCTTTGTTTGCTAACACTTTGAACCTATACGTTAATACACAGTAGTCCAACAATGCTACTTACTGAGAGTTTTTTATATTATTTATGTATTTGTAGAGATTTAAAGAAATACATTACACTTATTTGCTTTATTGCTGAAAGTCAGATGAGAAAGTTATTGTCATAAAGAGTGGCAACAGGGGGAGACAGATAAGGTGACACCTCACAATAAAGTATTTCCTCAAACATTTATACAGTATATTTCAGTTTTATGTGTGAAAACTCCTAAAATAATATACATACCGAATCACAACTTATGCCTTATACTGTTTTCCATTTGACCTTTATCAACCCTGGCTAGTCTCAGATGAGCCCTTGTTTTACATCCATCAGATTGAAACCTGAGAGGTGAAGGGAAACTAGACGGTCTTTCATCCCACATTGCAGCACTTCTTTGTTTAGTAAGATTTCAGGGGGAATTTCTGATCGTACCTTAGCTTAGGTGCATTCCCATTGCTATAACAAGATGTAATCAGCCTAAAAGTATAACGGCTATGTCTTCAATAGCGTGACTGTGAATGTTAAATGTAAACTGAGGGCATGTTCTTTCATTGATGTCCAGCTACTGTAGGATGAGAAAATAATTGTTGGTGTTAACAGCACAAGTCTGGCCTCTATTTTGAGCTCTGCATGTTTTTGTACGGGCTGAAGCGGTGGGTGTGGTTTGAATGAGAAACTGTGTCACAGCTTCCCCAACTTCTTCTTTTTTCTTTCTTCAATTTCTACAGTCTTAGGTTGTTGCTCAAAAAGATTCCTCCCCTGTCTCTTTCTCTTCTCTCCTCTCCTATTCACTCCTCTCCTCTCCTTATCATGGTAAGTATCTAAAGCTCCTAACAAATGGCGGAGAGGACAGCAGAGGGGGGAGGCCGCAGAATATCTACTCGAGTTTGTGCAGTCAGTTCCTCTGTGCAGTCACAGCTGTGACCACAGGGAGGTGTGATAAAAGTGGATTGCAAAGCGATGTATGCCCTACACCCTGATGCATGCAAATGTCCTCCTCCACCCTCTGCACAGTGCACCTACACTTTGTAAATGGGTTACAGGTTTCGGGTATTGTCCTTCTGCAATTCAAATTCACCCTTTTCAACATATGTCTGTTGATTGCTCATTAGAGGTTTAAAATACCTCAAATATAAGTTAAGGTGAGGAAAGTACAAGATAATAAAGTTT